TGAGTAGACACTTCTGAATCATTTGCATAAATGTGGCTCCGGCATTCTTGAGGCCGAATGGCATGGTGATATAGCAGAAGCACCCGAATGGAGTGATGAAAGATGTTTTTACCTCATCGGGCCCGTACAGACGGATCTGGTGGTACCCAGAGTAAGCATCTAAAAAAGACAACCTCTCGCATCCCGCGGTCGAGTCAACAATTTGATCTATGTGAGGGAGAGGAAAGTGATCTTTCGGGCAGGCGCGGTTGATGTGCTTGAAATCAATGCACATTCGGAGTGACTTGTCCTTCTTAGGAACCATGACGACATTAGCGAGCCACTCGGAGTGGTATATCTCTCGGATAAATCCTGCCGCCAACAGTCGAGCCACCTCTTCACCGATGGCCTTTCTCTTCTGGACGGCGGACCGCCGAAGATGCTCTTTGACTGGTTTTGCAGACGAGTCGACTCTTAGGCGATGCTCAGCCAGTCCCCTGGGAACACCTGGCATGTCAGTGGGCTTCCATGCAAAAATGTCCCAGTTCTCATGGAGGAACTGGATGAGCGCTTCTTCCTATTTTGGGTCGAGTGTTGTGGAGATGCGGGTTGGAGCTGCTTCGGGGTCGGTCGGGTGAATGTGAACAGGCTTCGTCTCACCGGACGACTGGAATGCAGACTCTGTGGCGGGCTTCTTGGATCGCAGCAAGTCACTCGGATCTGCGTTTTGCTTGTATTCTTCGAACTCGACCGCTGTCACCTGGGAATCGGCAATCTTGGAGCCCTTCTGAAAGCACTCCTCTGCCTTTTTCCTATCACCGGTGACAGTGATCACACCTTTGGGACCGGGCATCTTCAATTTGAGGTACACGTAACATGGTCGAGCCATGAACCGTGCATAGGCTGGTCTCCCCAAAATGGCATGATATGCACTTTGAAAATCCACGACCTCAAACGTCAACTTTTCTTTGCGAAAATGCTTCGAATCACCAAACACTACGTCCAAAGCTATCTGGCCGAGTGACTCGGCCTTCTTCCCTTGTATAACTCCATGAAAGCTCATGTTACTAGTGCTCAGTCGGGACATCGGAATGCCCATACCTTTCAATGTGTCTGCATATAACAGATTCAGCCCACTTCCACCATCCATCAGCACCTTTGTCAGTCGAGTGCCTTCGACAACTGGATCGACCACCAAAGCTTGCCTCCCAGGGGTGGCAATATAAGTCGGGTGATCAGATTGGTCGAATGTGATGGGTGTTTGAGACCACTTCAGATAATTTGCCTTTGCTGGGGCAACCATGTTCACCTCTCGGTTAATCACTTTCAGTCGACTTCTGCTTTCCACATCTGCAAAGATCATCAGAGTGGAGTTGATATGCGGATATCCTCCCTCACTGTCCTCTTTGTCTTCGGCCTTGTCCGACTCCTTCTCCTTGTCCTTAGACTGTTTTCCCTGAAACTGCTAGATCAGGAGTCGACATTGGCGAGTGGTGTGCTTTGGGTAAATGATATTCCCCTCTTCGTCTTTCTTCGTGTGAATGTGACATGGCATATCCAACACGTCGTTCCCTTCTTTATCCTTTACCTTCTTGGGGTTCCAGGATCCTTTTGGTTTCCCCTTAAACTTTCCTTGAGTCACGGCCAGAGCCTCTCCAGGAGCTGCCGGTTCAGCCTTCCGCTTCTGTTTCCGACTGGTGTTTCCCTTTTCCGACTGACTCGGCTTGTGCTTGCCGCTTCGGAGTCGGTCTTCTTCTTCGCCATTGGCGTACTTGGTAGCAATCTCCATCATCCGACTCAAAGTCATGTCACCGGTTCGACCAAATTTCAAACTCAGTTCTCTGTTCTTGACGCCGTCTTTGAAGGCGCAGACTGCCTGATGATCGGACACATTCTCTACAGTGTGGTGCAAAGTGATCCACCTCTGAATATACTCTCTGAGAGTCTCATTAGCTTTCTGCACGCAGACTTGCAACTCTGTCAATCCAGCTGGTCGCTTGCAAGTCCCTTCAAACGTTCTGACGAACACTCGGGACAGATCTTCCCAAGTGTAAATGCTGCTAGGAGGTAATTGAGTCAACCATGCCCTGGCAGAATCTTCCAACATGAGGGGCAAATGCTTCATGGCCACCTCGTCGTTCCCACCACCAATCTGAACTGCCACTCGGTAGTCTTCAAGCCAAGTTTCAGGCTTAGACTCACCAGTGAACTTGCTGACTCCTGTTGCCAACCTGAAATTGGGGGGAATAACTGCGGCTCTGATAGCTCTGCTGAAACATTCAGGACCGGAAACATGCACTCGACTGCTTGTGGGTACATCTCTGTCGAGTGCGCCTCGATGGGCTCTGTTCCGGTCGACCAACCCTTGCACGATAATGGACCGCGCGTCGAAGCCTTGTTCTCTAGGGTCAACTGGAACCCTACGTCCTGTACTGTACTGACGCCTATCATCTGGCTGCCGAGGAGCGTAAGACCCACCCCTCGGAGGGGAATAGGGCACTCGACGCCTATCATCTCGGTCGAATCTGTCGCCATATTGATCTCGCCGATTCTCGCGCCCTTCGTGCCGCGGAGGCGATCTGGGGCTGTGAGCCGACTGAACCGTATTCACAGTGACGGATCGACTGTGAATTCTGTTGCGTGACTGAGACACGGATGAATTCTGATCTCCTGCTGCCCGGAGCAGATCCCTGATCTGCAGCAAACCTCTGCCAGCTTCCGACTGCGAAGGCTGGATGGACTCTGCTATACGGGCCGCAGCTGCTAAATTCTGAATTGGTGTTCGATATACCTGAGTCGGCGGGAAGAGTTGACGTCGACTGGTGTCGGGAACTCGTTGTCGCGCGCGCTCGTCGAGTGCTCGCTGAAGGTTCTCCAGTCGAGTGCGCTCGGCCAAATTGGCCAGACGCGCCTCCTCCAAGGCACGAGCCTCGGGGGTTTCTCCTGCGATGGGAATACGCAGGGGATCCTCGTTCCTGCGGCGAAGTTCCTCTCTTTGCAGAGAGTCGAGTGGCTCGGGCTGGTACTCTTCGTAGCCTCGTGCAGGGTCGCCGCCGTCACCTGCTCCACCACCACGGGCGAAGCCAAAAGGGCTGTGGGGCCCGTCGACCATCAAGATTTCCGCCGCTGGATCACTGCTTCCGCACTCGGATGCAGTCTCTACGGAGCCAGTCGACTGATCGAACAAGCCGTAGAGAGATTCGTTGGGCTCGATTGCCGCAACTTGGGTAGTGGCCGATTGGCGAGCCACCGCGTGACTCACCCATCGCTGAAGCCTCGACCGGCCTGAGCGCTTGCGCTGGCGGGAGACCGGGAGGGTGGACGATGGAGGAGCCGACCGATACTGGGTCGACGGTTGCCGCAGCAGAACGCCGCGGACACATGCGCGAAAATGCGTCGCACCGCGGACGGGGAGCGCATCTACGTCGAGTGGAGCCTCCTGGAGCCATGCGGAGTCGTCGGCGATGAAGGTGAGAGTGCCGAGACGGATCTCTTGACCTTCGACCAAAACTCCAGCAGACACCATGATGAAAGTACTCGGAAGAATTGCAACTTCTCCACAAAATCGCTAAAACACCGGCCCCAAGGTGGGCGCCAACTGTCGTGATTCTAAGCCTGACAGTAGAGTGGGGGGTAGGTATGGAGAGGCAAGGTCCTAGCTATGGAGAGGTTGTAAGCACAAAGGATGTACGAGTTCAGGCCCTTCTCGGAAGAAGTAACAACCCTACGTCTCGGAGCCCGGAGGCGGTCGAGTGGATTATGAGTGTATGAACTACAAGGTGCCGAACCCTTCTGCCTGTGGAGGGGGGTGGCTTATATAGAGTGCGCCAGGACCCCAGCCAGCCCACGTAGGAGAGGGTTTAAGGTGAGTTAAGTCTGGGGCGTTACTGATAACGCCCCACATAAAGGCCTTTACTATCATAAAGTCTACTTGATTACAGGTCGTTGCAGTGCAGAGTGCCTCTTGACCTCCTGGTGGTCGAGTGGGTCTTCGTGGTCGAGTCCTTCAGGCCAGTCGAGTGAATCCTCGTTGGTCGACTGGAAGGCGACCTCTTCTAAGGATGTCCTAGGGTAAGTTACTTGGATCAGGTCCATGACCCTACCCTAGGTACATAACCCCATCACCCTTCCTTCCTTCCCGCGGACTCCACGAACTCTTTCTACCCCAAATACATCGCGTATATGGGCACGAATAAATATCTTCGACGCTGATGGACACTGCCATTACGGCGACTGATGCCGACGCCGATGCCACTGTGTGGAGCGTTCAGAGGTCTGCCGCGTTTCAAGCAAAGCCGAGGCGATCCCACGGCCGGCGGCTGGGGTCCGGTCGCTGCCGGCCGCTGGGGCGTCATGTCGATCAGGTCCTGCAACCCTCTGAACTTTGGAGGATGACTTCCTCTTTTTTTTTTCTGGGACCGTCCTTTCCGTGTGACAGCAACGTGCAAATGTCGAAGAAACATGGGATGGGTCCTGCTCCTCGCACAACCGGTGGGCCGCTGAACGCAGGTTTTGGATCGGCATTGCTCCTACCATGCTTTTTCTGAAGAGAAACTTACGCATCAGTGCAGTTCAGACGAAAACCGTTCGTATGTTAAGATAGTTCTGTATGAAGAGTAGCGAGATATTTTGTCTCCATTTTTTTAAAAAAAGTGCGGGTTTGTGGTGCAAGAAATTGACCAGCACTTTGAAACACAAAATATTCAAAGCAAGTTGGCATGAGTCCTTAGAATATTTGGGAAGCTGACCTACCTGCCTTGAATCCTGAATCCCGGACCGATTCCGGTGTGCTGCCGTCCGGGCCCACGGCACAGCCACCCACAACGCCCACTGGTTTATGCCCATAACCCCGGTTAGTTAACTCGACCAAACTCCCCGCCCACTGAAGCTCGTTCGTCTCTATAAATTCCGGCCAACCCGCTTCTCTCAAGTTCACTCCCGATTCAAGTGACACCATAATCTCCATCCCCTCCACGCACCCGATTCCAACTGCTCGCGCTCTCGATCTCCCTCTATCTCTCATGGCTGCAGCTACTACAAGTCGGCCTAGCGGCCCGGTCCTGTCCATACCCAGCTACCGCTCCGCCTCGCCCACCCGCGTCAAGCTCGCCGGCAGCAGCGGCCCCACCCGCTCGCCGGCCAAGTCCGTCAGCGTCTCGTCCCCGCCCTCCACCAGGAGCCGGCGGTCCTGCATGTGCTCCTCGACAAACCACCCTGGCTCGTTCCGGTGCAGCCTCCACAAGGAGCGCAAGCAGGCGTCCCTCGCCGTGAGCAGCAAGCCGGCCTCCCCGCCGTCCATCCGCAGTAGCTGCAGCCTGGGCTCGAAGCGCATGGATAGCGCTCAGTGTGCCCGCAGAACCCTCGTGCCGTCCCCCGCAGCGCAGCAGTCACAGCACCGGAGGCGCGCGGGCGGGTTCCGCCCCAGGCCCAGCCGGCTCTCAGCCGTCTCGGTGGCCGGCGAGCGTCCAGGCGACAACCAGTAAAAGAACCAGCGTCGACATGCCATAGCAAGATAGTAGTACTAGTAGTACATAGTGATCTTCTGGAGATAGAATCGGTGGGGATTAGACCCAATCCGGTTCCGGACTGGTCAATTTAGATAGAGTGAGCTTGTCCTCTGCTGTCAGCGGTGTAAAAGGAACGCCCTTGGCTTTTGGATATATACATGAGTGACAAATTGGAGACACATACATGCATCTGATCTGTCCCGTGACCGGAGGCTTATCCATCCTTGGATGATTTGTGTGCCGCAACAGCTTTCTGCTCTCGTTTCTGTTCCTGTTTCTGTTTCTGGAGTGGATGCAGATCCCCTGTTTCCGTTTCGGATAAGCTCCGCGAGAGATCATTGGCGTCTCGCCGTCGGTTGCTCCGGTCACGCGGCACCCGTGCGTGCCCCCGGCCGAACGGATCAGGCGAGGGGAAACACGCACGGGTCGGTTCTGATGAGATTTGTGTAAGAACTTTCATGATCGAATCGATAAATGAACTGAGAATTTTTCTTCTTCATGCTCGTGGTACTTTACTGTTGCCGGGATTCCCCTCCAACTCCTGAACTTGCGCAAGAAGATGATGGTGGGCTCGCACTCGCACAGCTGGCCAGCTTCTTGTTTAATCAGTTGTGTTTCTTGGCCGGAGATGAGTTGCCCGGCACACCAACACTTATCAGTTGGCTCCCATGTCCCATCTCCCTATCAAATACAGTGTTTCTTTTGCTTAACGATCCGAATAATGATCATCTCTAAGATCTTCCGCTGCGAACCGCTGTCTGTGTATGTACACTGGATGCGTTGGGCATGTAGTACTAGGAGTTGCTGCTAAGCAAAATAACCAAGTGGGGCTGCTGATGCTGGAATAAAGTTCTCGTTGAATATCCGACGACTTTTTCTTTAACTGAATATCTGACTAGTTGGTACTTGGTAGTACGTTCTAACAAACTCGTATAATATCCACTTCCTAACCAGATGTTCTGAAATGTCAGCGTCGCCAACATGCCCGCGGCGAGCACTTTAGGACGCACAAATGCTACGGACGCAAGCAGATGAAAGTCTCTTGCCGGCGCGGCAGGGCATGATCGAGTCAGTGCAGAGTCACCCGAGCTGAAAGATCTGCCTGCCACGGAACCTGGAGAAGTTCAGTGGCACCTGACCGGGCAGGCAATCCATGGCTACGCACTGCGTTTTTCCAGTGTCCAGATAGACCGGCCGGGGGAAAAAGTTCAGAATCAGTAAACCGCCGGTAAACGCCATGCGCCGGAGGCAATGTACCGGCCAAGAGCGAGTATTTAACAAAAAACTACCACAATTCATGGAACCGTGCCTACAAACTACCACTTTACAAATTTGTGCCGAAAACTACCATTTTCTTATTAATCCTTGACTAAAAACTACCAAGTCTGAAAAGAGCCCGATTCGGCTCTTTTAAACGCGTTTCTGACTAGTTGGTCCCACACGTTAGTGTCTATCTTCTTGCTCCTCCCATATCTTTCTTAGACATTTCAACAAACACCTTGTTTTCGTGCTCCACGGCTGGGAGCTCGCCGGCGAGCGAGAGCACGCGCAGCTCGGCGGCTGGCCCATCCAACCCCCGGCCAACCCTCCTCATCCTTCTCCCCCTCTGTCCTGAGCACGACCTCCAGCAGGGCGGCGGTGCGCCCCTCCGTTGCACGCGGCAGCGCTCCTCTGGCCAGAGCGCGGCGATGCACCCCGGAGCACGACGGCGGTGCACCCCTCAGCGCCGTCCGGCAAGGCAAGGAGCAGCAGCAACGGCGGTCGTCAAGGAATAGCAGCAGGCGCGAGAGACAAGGAGCAGCAGGAAGCGGCCGACAAGGAGTAGCAGGAGCAGCAAGCGCGTCCGTGCGCGACCATGGTTGAGCTCGAGCCCGGGCGCAGGTGACAAGGAGTAGCAGGGTGCAGCCGGCGCGGGCCGCAAGGAGTAGCAGGAGCAGAAAGCGCGGCCAGGCGCGACCATGGCTGAGTTCGAGCCCGGGCAAGGCGACAGCCATGACTAGCTCCTGGCATTAATCCGTGAAAAGGAGAGAGGCCAACTTAATGGCGAGGCTGCGGCGAGTCTGAGAAAGGCCAGAGGCGAGGCTGCGGCTATGGCGCATGGGAGCAGGGTGCTGGACTGCTTTGCCGCGTGCGTGGGAGCCGGCGCCGGCTGCGGCTGCCTGTGTGCGCGCGCTGGCACCGGAGGAGGAGATGGAGGAGAGGAAGGCTCTGGTGACCGGGAGCAGCCAGGTGGTGAGGCTCAGCGACCTCGTCGTCCAGAACGCTGGGCTTCCATCTGCTGGCCGCCGTCGCGTGCTTCACCGGAGCGTCGCCATTGAGAAGAGCACGGAGTGCATATGAGGTGTTTGACGAAATGCCAGAGAGAGAGGAAGGAGGAGGGGGAAAAAGATTGATGCTGACAGGTGGGCCCATCCTATTAGAAAGGCGTTTAGAAGAGGTGACTCGACCATTTTTTCGACATGGTAGTTTTTAGTCAAAGATTAGTGAAAAAGTGATAGTTTTCGGCACAAAATTGTAAAGTGGTAGTTTGTAGGCACGGTTTCATGAAATGTGGTAGTTTTTTGTTAAATACTCGCCAAGAGCTGGCGGCGCCGCCAGTGAATCAGATGCCGGGCACACCAATACATATCACCTGTGGCAGTGGCGGCATGACTGTCAGTTGGCTCTGTTCTCTATCAAATACAGTGCCTGCGGTGCTCCTTTTTCTCAGCGAACGAAAAATATTAGTGTCCACTTTTCAGATGAACGAACGGAAAATATCATTGCCAGGCAGTATAGAGCATCTCCCATAGATGATGCAGATACAAAAATGCTTAACTTTTGCATCTTCAAAAGCCAAAAAATTGTCCAACAAATGTTGTAGATGCAAAAAAGATAAATACATCTTCGCTTCCCAAAAATGTAAAATACAACACTTCAAGTTGCAAATTTACTTCTCCGGATGCAGGAGATGTAAAACCCGCAAAAAATAGAGTTGCAAAGTTACATCTTCGGATGCACGAGATGTAAAACCCGCAGTCGCGCGCCGACCGCCAACGGCCGTTCATTCCACTTCAGCCCGTCGCCGCCCCGACCCCGACCCCATCCGCCCGCCGCTGCCCCGCTCCGCCCGTCGTTCGAGGACTGGGGTGACTCCGACAAGGAGGACGAGGGGTGTGACGACCTAGACAACGACGAGTTCTGGGAGCAGTTCCGCAGCTCCGACGATGAGGAGTAGTTTCATCTATTAGTTCGAATACGTAATATTTTAATTTATGTATGAAACTATGTTGAATTTAATGTTTAAACTATGTTGAAATGAAGTAGTAGTTGGTCGTTTGCAGATTTTTACATCTTCATTTGCATCACCTGTTGGAGTTGCTGTTTTACATCTCTAAAGTACATTATATGTTGGACTTGAGACTTTTTGGAGATATAGAGAACACTTCTTGAAGTTTTTTTTACATCTTCAAAATTTGCATCATCTATTGAAGATGCTCTTATGCATGTGCTCTTATGCATGTACATACACTAGATATGTTTGAACAGCTACCTCCCAAGTGGAGTTGCTGAGAGTGGAATATAGTAGTACTACTAGTTTTTTTTTTGAACAGTCACCGGGGGATCCCTGCCCACCTAAATATATTGCTCAAAAAGCTGTCAAAGCTAAGAGTTGTCCCTTAAGCTTTGGCTGATGACTTTTATAAGGGAAACAAGATCGAAAATCTACACAAATTGACCCTGTTTATGAGGAAAACCGGGCCGAAAACTGTACAAGTAACAAGGTTGCAAAAGATGAGAAAAAATTAACGCACATCAAAGACTAAGAAGAGAAGGGAAAAGGACGCCCAAGACAAGTCATGACCTTGTATAGATTGAGATAGAGGTCCACATTATACATCATATATACGTGCATATTGCCCTGATCAATATATCGTCCATGACCACTACTCTCTACAATATCAACGAGATTCTTCCAAATGATGCATTGTGTTCGTCGTATTGTTAGATGATGGACTTGCGTTGTAACGTGACATGGTCACGATTGTAGATGTGTGTGCGTGTGTGTTAACTTGTGTATCAAGGCAGGTGGTTAGAGGAACCGGTGCTAGTAGATATCCATGTATAGCTTGCACTAGGGGTCAAGACTTAACCACCTGCCGCCACATCTTGTATTTCTGTTGGTTATATAACACGCATACGTCCCTGCCAGGAGGCATACGCTTCACATCATCACCTCGCAATCTTATATGGTAATCAGAGCCTACCTCGGATTCATCCATGGCGAGCTCATCCACAAATACGTTCCCCTCATCTCCCTTTGCACACATCGCCACAGAGAAGCTATCGAAGGGGAACGAAGCTCTCTGGCGTGCCACTGTCCTCTCTGCCATCAGGGGGGCGCAGATGGCGGGCTTCCTCGATCTGGAGCAAGAAGTGCCTCCCACGACGATCGAGGTGACCAGCAGCGACGGCAAGACCAAGTCGAAGGCCGCCAACCCTGAGTTTGGCACCTGGTATGCTCGTGATCAACAGGTGTTTTCCTATCTGCTGACTACGCTACCTCGTGAGATGGCCATCCAAGTGGCAACCTGCCACACCGTCGCGGAGCTGTGGAACACCATGCAAGGGATGCTCACCTCGCATACCCGAGCACGGTCTGTCAACGTCAGGATCGCACTAGCGAATCTTCAGAAGGGCAACTCCACCATCACGGAGTACGTTGGTAAGATCAGAACTCTTTGTGATGAGTTGATGGCTTCACGAAAAAAGGTGGACAAAGAAGATGTGGTTTCACACATCCTTGCCGGGCTGGAGGAAGAATTCGATCCCGTGGTTTCTGCCATGTGCTCACGGGTCGAACCTGTAATCGTCCCGGAGTTGTACTCGCAACTTCTGAGCTTCGAGACACGCATGAACCTTCGCGGGGGAGCCTCCCAGTCCTCCGCCAATGCTGCATCACGCGGGCGCTTCACCAACTTCAACAACAAGCAGAA